GACAGTAAGGTCCTATACTGGGACCTGATGTCTTAAGCTCAAAATTTTGTGGATCCTAAAAGATTCCTCAGATGTTTGATCAGGTCTTTGATCGCTATAGTTTGACTCATTCACTGACAGCCAATTAATGACCATTGCAATCAAATTTTACCTTTTAGAACGAAATTCCGGCAGTGTCAGAAGATTTGACACGCCATCCTGCAGTGTCGCTTCTGTTACGACAACCGTCAAATCAAAAACCAATAGAAGCGAATGGAGCAATTATAGTGTCAACTACAAAAAAACTTGCTCAACACACATACACTCTAAAAAATGCTGGGTTGTTTCAACCCAATTTTGGGTAAAATATGGACATACCCAGCCATTGGGTCAATTTTTTTAATTACATTTTTAACCCAACATTTGAGTTTGTCCATATTTTACCCAAAATTGGGTTGAAACAACCCAGCATTTTTTAGAGTGTAGTCTTTGTTTTCTTTTCTAGACAGTGATCAAAATTATTGCTAGAGATTGTTTTTGTTTGCTAGCCAGTAGCCACCAATTCTATCCTGTATATGCAGCTCAGTCACTGAACATGTCACGGATAGATGATGGTAATCTCGGACGAGTCTTCTTGCATGCGTCCGTTTTTAACATGTCTTGAGCGCCAAAGAGTCTGACATTAATGACAACTGAGATCCAACCGTGTGACATTGTGGGGTTCACGTTTTTACTGTCTGACCAACAACAGTCATAAAGGACTGTTAAAAATCGTTCAGTGCGCACCAGGCCAACATCAGTTCGGCAGAACAAAATGTGAAGCGACTTGCCAAAAACATGCTTAGAGGATTTACAGTAGCTTGCCAACTTGGTCCATAAAACTAAGATGGAGGTGATGGAGTATGAAAAGAGGTCAAATAGAGTCATGGATGAATTCAAACTTTGTATTTTCTAATAAATCAATGACTCAACACTGACCATTATCTGCAAAATAAAAATAAAAAAATAAAAATGCTTTTTCAGTTTTGGACTTTACAAAGACTCAGAAGAGCATAGAATCAATGTCCACAACAACTGAGACTTTAGAAAGTGTGTGTTCGTGTGAAAACAGCACATTCACTAACAGCATTCTGTACTGGATGAAACTGATATCATGATTGTGGATTATGCGTGTGCATTTGTATGTTTATACATGAAACGTTTGTGGGTTGTCACAGTTTGAAGGCACATGAGTGACATCATTAGTTTTAAAAATAGTAACTGCAAATTAACTCAATATTCCAATACCAACATACCTCATAAGTGCAGAGCGCGCGCACACACACACACACACACACAGTCATCACCAACTAAAGTCTGCGATAGGAGGTTAGGGTTACCATAGCAACCAAAAGAGATAATGGCCGTATAGTTGGGCACATGCCGCAGGGTGTGTGTGTGTGTGTGTGTGTGTGTGTGTGTGTGTGTGTGTGTAAGAGAGATATGTCGGTGTCAAAAAGTCACTGACACTAAGTGAATGATGTCTAGTCATCTTCTTTATTAAACTATCGACCAGTTTAGACCTCGGCACTGATCTGAATGGTCTGGATTTTTAAATCACTCAGAATATTATGTTATTAAATAAGACCATTTGGTGTTTATTTTTACAGATTATGATAAAGAAAGGTATGATCACATTTATATAATAATTAGTTGACATTTGGGCATGAAACTATAGCTTACTAAACAATACCGCCATTAATAAACCACTGTTATTGACAGAATCCCCAATATAGCGTTATAGAGACTTAAACAGACTGACACTAATGATAACAGAGTGTTATAGTGAATAAATTTGTCATCAGTCTCTAACACAAGATCCCGCTGGAACACCTGGCACTTGCTAATTTAAAATATTAGATGAAAAAACAATCTTTATAATGAAACTAAAATTGGAAAGGTTGCCCTGGGAACTAACTAAAATTAAATTGATGTACTGAAATGACTAAAACGAAAACGCTGAAAATGTAAAAATAAAAGCAAATTCAAAATACTACAATAGCAATAGTAAAATAGCACTGGTTTAAATATAAACATAAAAGGGGCCACACAACCTGTCCACTTGTTGGGGATGTCAAAAGTCATGTTTGTAATTCTATTCTATTCTATTCTACTATTATATAAGACTTTTGATGCTGTTACTTGAAAATGCTACTACTGCTTGTTAGCTTTTGAGATACGTTTTCTCCTGATTAAATAGGCTACACAACATACATTACATAAAACCTGCAAACAAACCATACTGTACACTGATAACAGCAGCTGAAGTTTGTGATTAAGTATAATTATTCGAACTTTATACACGTCTGTCTTATACACACAAAATAGCATCGAACCAACTGGCTACTATAAACAGCGTTGGCATTGGTTGGATTGGATCTTGATCAAATCGGTTCAGGTCCAAAATGTTTGTAAGTGTTTGTCATAGACACACAAAACAGCATAACTAAGTGGTTACTAAAGCCAGCACTGCATGGCATTTGTTTACGTCCTTGATAAAACTAAAACATTACATCTGAAATTATACATGCAAGTACATTTCAAACGATTAAGTCTTACTTACAGGTTGTGGCCCAACAATGGCTGCCTTTGGTTTTAAAGTTGAAACGGCTTCATGTTTTAGTAACATTCTCTTGTTGAATCCAGCACTGAATTCACGAGTTCACACTAACATTTAATTAGAGTGGATAAGATTTAATGTGTATTTGGCGTTCTGTCCGGGGAGAGGGCTTCAAGCTCGGAGTTTGGTCCGAACCCCCAAAAGGCTAAAGAGCAGAAGACAGCCACCGGACCAATGCTCGCTGGACAGAAAGAGAAACCAAAAAGAGAGGAAAATGAGTACTCAACACAGAGATTTTCTCACACTGTGTTGCTGGATGAAAGAGAAAATGTAAGTGCTTTACCGGGAAAGTTCTCACTGTGTCCGCTGAGGGACCAAAGCTGGACAGAAATAGGAAAACGGGAAAAGACAAAAATGGATGCTCAACCTAGTCACTAGACGAAAGAGAAAATGTTTTTTTGTTGTTGTTTTTTGCTTTACACGATGAAGGTTTGGCTTTGGAGAATGGTTTGCTCACTGTGTTAGGGTAAAGTACAGATCGTACAGCTCCGCTTTATTCAATTTTCAAGAAGCCTGTGCGTCTGAATTTCTCAGCGCTTGCCTCAATCGACGGCTAAGCTGTAGGAGGAGGCCAGAGAGGAAGATGCACTGTAAATAATTTCTGTTGTTTTCACAGGATTATGTTTTTCTCAACAGTTTCTTACTGTATAATCTATGTACAGTAAGTTACAGTAGATTTAGTTGTTTTCACAGTATTAAATTGTTTTTTCAACAGTTATGTACTGTGCACACAGTTGACAGTATGTTACTGTAGAATTGCAATGCATTCTGGGAAATTATCAGTTACTGTTAATCTAAATACAGCAGTGCAATTGACCGCGAAAAACACCACACACAGTTCCACGGGTAAAATTGCTAGCCTACTAATGTTATTCTTACATTTAAAATAAAAATGTAGCACTGGTTGACCATTAACAGTCATAATTTATGACATAATTTATGTCAGTGGGGTGTGCATGAGAGCATATTTGACTTTGGAAGAGTTTCTCTGTCGTGTCAGTGGTGCTGCTGTCTTTTCTGCCGACCTGCAACTTCTTCATCTGGTAAGTAATAATTCTTATAATGTGTATGCAAACGGATTCTAGCTAATAATAACTTTAAAGTTATTTAGAATAGCGGACCACGATTTCTATATTCAATTTAATATATTCGACATTTTAATATAATATGATAGGCTACTCTTCAATGTAGCCATTTGGGATGTTACTGTAAATTCAAATACATTAGTACGAAATGACCGCGAAAAATAACCACCACAAGCTGCCATTTTATGAAGAACTCTTCAGTTCCCTTCCCTCTGTAAGAACACGCAGGCCGTGCATCGCGTCGCTGTCGGTCGGCAACGTTTTCGCCATACATCTGGTTAGTAATTCATATTTTTATGCAAACCATATGAGTTAACAGATTACCGTTAGAAAGAAGTGGCCGCGGAATGTTCGATAACGTCTGTATAAGTCAGACGCGGATTTCTTTTATGTTGATAGCCTTACTTGATTAAATGTGATTTTATTAACATATATTTCATATGTAACCTCTTATACGGTCAAAATGGTCTAATCATTTTGTTATTTACCACGTTAAGTCGGTGGAAGCGCCTGCACGTTCATTATTTTATGACTTACAGGGGTTAGGAATTGATAATCGATAAATGTATCCTGAAATCGGACATCCAAGGTTAGGATTCGGATTTATTGTTATAAAATTAAAGTGCCGATTCCTCTTATTGATTTTTTCACGCTTATTTTCGTGTAAATCCTGACCTGGCGTTCTGCCATTATAACGTTACCTCAGTGATAAAGTTGGACCGCAGAAAGCGCCCAAGGTGTATGTGTGACATTTACAGTATTTGTTGTGGTCTTTGTTAATCTTTGGTTATCATTAACGACACATACACGAGGGAGTTAGCCTGGTGTTGAACACTTTACTAGCGAACTTAGAATCAACAACAACAAAAAAAACCCGGGTCATACCAACTACACAAACTGCCTGGGGGTGTTCCGGTAGGAACCATTCACTGCATATACTACAGTATTGTCGGCTATAATATCTTTTTTTTTCTTACTATGTGTAAACTGACATGTACTCATTTGAAGGGAACGATGCCTTGTCAATCTTTTTTTAAGTCATGTAACTTAGTATCACACAAGTGTAACCTCAGGGGGGGTCTATTGCAACCAAATAATCATGGCTAAGCGACCGTAAGAATTTCAAATGTTTACCAGCAGGCTATCCCAATAAAGGGAAATACAAAGAGAGAGAGAGAGAGAGAGAGAGAGAGAGAGAGAGAGAGAGAGAGACTGGAGTATTATAAAAATAGAAAATTTATTTATTTCCCCTTTTCTTTAGCTCAATGGACTCACAACATGAAACACTATTCAAAGGACATTAGGTCTCTGGGCAACAGAGTCAGGGACAACAAAATCCAAAATCAAAGTGTTCAAATAACTCAAAAACAAAATACAACAAACTCAAAATTGATAAGGCACGTCACAAAATCACATGCACAAATATAACCAAAAAGAAAATAATTCACACTAGACAAACCAGTGGCCACACAACAAAATTGTTATCCCCCCCTACCCAGGATATTGCACTAACCCAATGGCCTAAAATACACACATTACATAACATACAACATACATCAACACACCAGGGGAGGCTCATAGGCAACTCAATAGACGGTTCTTCCCCACGTACACGTACACACACACACACACGGAGCTGAATCCTAAAAACAAGAGCACAGGAAAAACAGTGGCCAGGACAGCATATGTCGCTCCTCCTGCAAAGAACAATTACAATGTTACATAATTATACAGGTCGGCATCACAACTATGCCTAATTTGTAACCTGTACACCAATGGGCTGGGAATTACTTAAGATGTAAAAAGTTAAGCTGAACAATCAGAGCGGGGCAAGAGGCTAAAGTAGCCTAAAACACTAACCTGTATGAACAGACCACAGCATCAAGCCAAAAGCTTGGTTATTTATAATACTGTAGCAGTCACTTTACTCCGTCTGGTTTTTACTTGAACATTCCCAAACCAAACTATAATAAAGAAACATTGCAAATCAACAGAACTACATACATAAACGTTCCATGAAGATGTACAAACGTGAGGGAGAAAGGAAGCCAATAAACTTACGTTCTCGGCACAACAAACGCACTCGGCAAACTTGTAGTTATCACTCTAAACCCGGAACTAATAAACAAAACATTAAATCAATAAAAGCTCATTACAGCAAGTACCTAAAAAACAGAGAGACAAACGCTGCTCAATAAAAACAAGAGACTTACGTCCTCGTTGAAGCACGCCAACACAAATCGCAGCCGATGAGGGCTCGCAAAGACAGGACACTAGCAGCACCCACGGCACTGGGTAATCGCACAAACACCAGATGAGGCTATGAAACAATGTAATCGTCTGAATCAAAATCACATATGCCAACGAGGTTTGATCTCACAATACATTTAAACATGAACTCACGTCAACTCGTACACTCAGCCAAGAGCCCAAGGAAGCAACAGTCTGTGACAGCACAAAATCAGAAAACGCCAGCTTGCTGGATTTAAAGGTGTAGCGCCAAACAACCCCCACCTGATTCAATCAAGCGCAATTCTCATGGAACACACCCCACTCGCTACACTTACCCCCCCTTGAATGTCACCGTCCCGGTGACCGAAAAACAAAAGGTCAAACCCAAGGCCTAAAAACAGCACTATGGGATGAAATGGTTAAAGTGCTTTCTGCCGCAGGTGCAGGGGATCTAACAGTCGTACATGGGAGGTTGTAAGGATTAGGATGGTGGCCTGCATTTGTTCTGGCAGTTCTCCTTGATACAAGGGTATTGCCAGATGTCACTACTTCCCCTTCAACACCCAAAGAGTCACGTATTGAGTGCTGAGGTATAATTGGTCCCTGCTGCTCAAGAGCTGAAGGTTGCAACACCCCAGACTCCGTGGGAGATGTTGGTCCTCTTACAGAAGGTGCATCGATTGCCACCAATACTCCAAAATCATCAGACTCATCCAGACTACCACCAACATCATCCTCTATAACATTTGGCATGCTTACATTCAGCACCTCACCCCCTACCACAACATAGGGTGAACCTGGATCCGTTGGAAGGGGCCGCAGTTCTTTCCGGTTGATATTTTTCTCGTGACCTAACTGATCCCTTGGCCTAATTTTATAGAGTGTACCAACCTCATCAAGGCACCTCACAATCTCATACACTACATCTCCCCAATGATCACTAATTTTGTGCCGTCCCTGTGGGTGACTGCGACGATACACCAGTGTACCAGGGGGTAGGAGTGGCAAGGGAATCGATTGATTCTTTGCTCGTTGTTGAGCAGCTGCCTCTAAATGCGCTCGGGCCTGGCTATAAATTACAGAAAGATGCTCCTGATGTTCTTGGACCCACTCGGAAGTAGTAGTAGTGGTAGAGTCTAACGGGGTATCGATGGTACCCAGAAAAGAATCAAGTGGAAGAGTGGGTTTACGCCCAAACATCAATTCATACGGGGAGAACCCCGTAGACTGATGGACTGTGGTGTTGTAAGCAAACAAAACCTGTGGCAGATGGTAGGGCCACCGTCTCTTCTTATCTGGAGGTAGTGTGCGAAGCAAGTCATGCAATGTGCGATTAAATCTCTCACACTGTCCATTACCCTCTGGATGATATGGGCTAGTGCGGGACTTACGAATTCCATACACTCTGCACAATTGTTGGAGCAGCTCCCCTTCAAAATTGCGCCCTTGGTCAGTATGGATGCGTAGTGGGACACCATAAGTATAAAACCACTGCTCGGTCAAGACTCGAGCTACGGTTGATGACCTCTGGTCTACAGTAGGATATGCCTGCGAGAATTTAGAAAACACATCCGTCACAACCAAAAGATTCTCTTTCCCATCACTTGATTTCTCCAATATGGAAAAGTCAATGGCTACTATTTCTAAGGGCCTTGATGCCATCAGGTTACCCATAAAGGTCCTCAATTTTGGCTGAGTTGCCTTAGCCACCACACACCGCCGACATTCACGACACCACCGGTCTACATCCTTTCGCATAAAAGGCCAATAGCATCGCTGGCGGACGAGACTGACTGTTCTTTCCACCCCTTGGTGGCCATGATCATCATGCAAAGCCGTGAGTACTTCTGTCTGAAGAGCCTGGGGCAGCAGTAACTGCACAACCCCTTTCGTACTACCAGGGACATGCGTCCTCCTATACAAGACCCCCTCATAAACTACTAGATTTGCCCATTGACGAACAAGCTCCACCACAGCCGGGGGCTCAGTAGACCTCTCTACGGCTGTAGGGGGACTGCCCCTCTTCCAATATACCAAGAAGGCCTTCAAAACAGGGTCTTCAGCCTGCAAAACTTGGAGATTGGCCTTAGTTCTCGTAGGGCATGCATCTATAGCCTGTATTTCAATCGAAGGGGACATAACCACACTCTTAATCTCAGCTGGCACAGAGATTCCCGAAGCCATCTCCTTCATAGAGACTAAGGCTGGTGGTGCCGGCAAGCGGGATAGCGCATCCGCATTCTTGTTACATGTACCAGGGCGATACTCGATGGTAAAATCAAAAAGTGCTAATTGCGCAGCCCAACGTTGCTCCACGGCTCCTAATTTAGCTGTCCGCAAGTAACAGAGCGGGTTGTTATCAGTCAGAACAGTAAATTTAGCACCCAGCAGATAATCCCGAAACTTATCTGTTACTGCCCACTTAAGTGCCAACAATTCAAGTTTCATGGCAGAGTAATTATCCATGTTACGCTCAGTTAGTCGCAAGCCCCTGCTTGCATAAGCGACTGGACGGCGCAGTCCTCCATCCTGCTCTTGGGACAAAACTGCCCCGAGACCCAGCCCACTAGCATCTACCTCAAGGACAAATGGTTTACTAAAATTGGCATAACCCAGAACTGGTGCACTTATCAATTTGTCCCTCAAAGTGTTAAATGCTTGATCACAGCCCCAGTCCCAATGGTCCCGCAAAGTGGCACTATGCCCCGGCCTATTCTTTTTAGGGTGTGGCTGCAGCTTTGCCACCAATTTATGCAGAGGAGCTGCGTACCTAGCAAACCCCTGCACAAAACGCCGATAATACGACGCAAACCCAAGGAATGATCGCAGTTCGGCAACTGTCGAGGGAGTCCTCCAATCCCTAACTGCACTGATCTTGTCCGGATCCGTAGAGACCCCGGAGGCTGAAACAACATGGCCCAAGAACTTCACTTCAGGCTGAAAGAAATGACATTTCTTTAGTTTGAGCTTAAGACCGTGCTCGCGTAGACGACTAAATACAGACTCCAAACGATCCAGATGCTGTTTAAATGTAGATGAAAAGATAACCACATCATCCAAGTACAGAAGAAGGGAATGGAAACGCTGGTCCCCAAATATCCTTTCCATCAGCCGCTGGAAGGTCCCGGGTGCATTGCACAACCCATATGGCATCCTCTGAAACTCAAATAAGCCAAATGGCGTGCAAAAAGCGATCTTAGCCTGGTCCCTCTCAGCGACTGACACCTGATTATAACCACTCGCAAGGTCCAGAGTGGAAAAGAGAGATGCTCCTGTAAGGGCGTCCAAAGACTCCTCAATTCTCGGCAATGGGAAGGCATCTTTCCTTGTCTTTGCATTTAATTGCCTATAGTCAACACAAAGACGAATAGATCCATCTTTTTTTTCCACAACCACGATAGGTGAAGAATAAGGACTACAACTTGGTTTTACCACTCCCTGATCTAACAGCTCCTGAATATGTGCTTTCACCACATCATACTGGGATGGTGGGAGTCGTCTGTAACGCTGCCGCACCGGAGTGTTATCAATCAAAGGAATCTCGTGCTCAATCAAGTCAGTACAACCTAAAGGTGCCTCACTACAACTAAAGGTATCACTATACTTCTGAAGTAAGGACTTTGCTTCCCGTTGCTCGGAATCAGATAAATTAGGCCAGGAAAGATCCGCAAACCCCAACAGTGGAGTTGTAGCCACCTCCGTCGAACGAATGAAGGCAACAGGGCCTTGGGTACCATTCTCCTCCTGAAAGCAGATGGATTTGTTAGCAGAACGGGCAGTGATCAAATACATTTCTCCCAACAGGGTACGTGGTTTTATCCACCGGTCTACCTGGCCCACATTAACAACTGGCACTTGTACCGTACCATTTCCCATGGGGAGCAATGAAATTGGAACAATTAAATCTGGTGGCAACTGCCACCCTGCCTCTGCTGGTTCCAACAATACAGAAGGAATCAATGGGCCAAGCCCCTGCCTACAGGTGGCTGACACAAACTTTAAGGATCCAGCTGGGACACAGATGGAGGACCCAGGAGCGGTCAGAACCCTACCCAGAACACCAGACGTCGAAAACGCTTCCAGGCGTTGACACGCTAATAAGGCATGTTCCCAAACGGCTGGGACTGTTATCCCAGAAGTAAACAGATCTACACCATCTTGGCAAAAAAACTCTTGCAAACAGCAACGGAGAACATTCATCCCGATCAATCCTGGGACCGAGTCCTTGCTTGTCTTAAGCCTAGACTCAGGTGGATCCTGAACCACCAAAACTCCTATAGAAGGAAGAACTTTCCCCAAAACTTCTACGTCCAATTCCAAGTAGCCTCGATATGGGATATCTAAGCCGTTAGCCGCTTTCAACTGTAACCAACCACAAGAACGTAACTGGTCACACCCCAGGACTCGAAAATGGTTATTAAAGAAGGACTCTGTAATGGTAGATACCATAGAACCAGTATCTATAAGACAAGTAACATTTACCCCGTTCATCCGAACGTCTGCCACAGGGCACTCGCCCACCAATGCCGAAGGACAAGGAAAAAGAGATGTAAAAGAATGTGAGCCCATCGAACCCCCTTCCAGTGCTTGGCTCCATGCACTAGAGGGTGCTAGTTTCCCTGCTGCCGGCCAGAAAAATCGTTTCCACCGTTTCCAACAGGCGGCCTGGGACCAACCCCCGCACGCTGTGCCTGCCGTGAGCCAACCGGGCAATCCCTAGCCATATGGCCTACTTGCTCACAGCGCAGACAAATAGGTCTGCCATCCACATCAAAACGAAAACGCCTCTGATAATTGGTCTGCCTATTAGGTGGGTTAAGTGACCCTGAGCCAGGAGACAAATGTTTAAGAATGGCATCTAATTGGGCCTGCTGCCTACGCAAACAATCCTTGAGCTCGGTCAATTCATTACTTGGTTGTGCTACCACGGCCTGGGCTTCTGCCTGCCATGGCCCCACCGCTCTTGGACTGGCATCACACGAAAAAGCCCTTGCTCGAACCGGGCGAGGCCCCTCACCATCATCAGCCCAACGAAATGCCTCCCGACGCAAGTCTAAAAAGGAGGAATCAGGATTTAAGCGGATGTATCGTTTTAATTCTCTACGCAACATTTTGTCTCTAACGTTTTCTGCAAACTGATCACGAAGAACAAAGTCGGGTTTAGCAATTGCAGTTGTATTTTTACGCAATACGACTTCCATAAGCGACATTAACAAATGTGAAAACTCACGCAACGTTTCTCCCTCCCGTTGACGACATTGGAAGAATTTTTGTTGGGCGTCAATATAAGACTGGCTACAGCCAAATGTCTCGGTCAGTATAGAGAAAATATTTTCAGGCTCAGATCTAACTGAAGCTGGCTGGAGTTTGATTTCTAGTTTTGCCTCCCCATCCAGAAGATCATAAACGAAATACGCCTGCTCACCTATGGACATCTGCCTAACCTGTAGACATCGACGGACCTCCTCAATCCATTCCTCCACTGAAGGGGACTCTGAACTACCCGAGAACCGGGGATATTTACGTTCTCTAGGAACATACACATACCTCAATCCAGAAGACCCTGGTTCCTGAACGTTTGGCTCTTGGGGAGTTAACACTCGCTGACTCTGCTCTCCCTGTTCTACAGCCACAGCAGATGCTACATTTCCCTGACGTAGCCTTGCATTATCACTCTGTAACTGGTTAATCTGCTCCATTAGCTGCCCGACCCGCTCCTCCAGCTCCTGAGACATTTCAAAAAAAAAGGGAGGGAAAAGAAAAGGATTTCTTTTTTTTTTTTTTTTTTTTTTTTGTATGTATATATATTTTTTTTATATACAAACCACTTGTCACTTGCAGAACAACTTTACACACCCAATCCTCGACCACTGCTTCCCCTGTACTCCACCTGCACTCAAAACACACATGCACACAACAAAGAACAAACCAAAAAAAACAATAATAATTACACCAGTCCCACTCTCCTACCCTGCCGACTTACGCCAAATGTAACCTCAGGGGGGTCTATTGTAACCAAATAATCATGGCTAAGCGACCGTAAGAATTTCAAATGTTTACCAGCAGGCTATCCCAATAAAGGGAAATACAGAGAGAGAGAGAGAGAGAGAGAGAGAGAGAGAGAGAGAGAGAGAGAGAGACTGGAGTATTATAAAAATAGAAAATTTATTTATTTCCCCTTTTCTTTGGCTCAATGGACTCACAACATGAAACAGTATTCAAAGGACATTAGGCCTCTGGGCAACAGAGTCAGGGACAACAAAATCCAAAATCAAAGTGTTCAAATAACTCAAAAACAAAATACAACAAACTCAAAATTGATAAGGCACGTCACAAAATCACATGCACAAATATAACCAAAAAGAAAATAATTCACACTAGACAAACCAGTGGCCACACAACAAAATTGTTATCCCCCCCTACCCAGGATATTGCACCAACCCAATGGCCTAAAATACACACATTACATAACACACAACATACATCAACACACCAGGGGAGGCTCATAGGCAACCCAATACACGGTTCTTCCCCACGTACACGCACACACACACACACACGGAGCTGAATCCTAAAAACAAGAGCACAGGAAAAACAGTGGCCAGGACAGCATATGTCGCTCCTCCTGCAAAGAACAATTACAATGTTACATAATTATACAGGTCGGCATCACAACTATGCCTAATTTGTAACCTGTACACCAATGGGCTGGGAATTACTTAAGATGTAAAAAGTTAAGCTGAACAATCAGAGCGGGGCAAGAGGCTAAAGTAGCCTAAAACACTAACCTGTATGAACAGACCACAGCATCAAGCCAAAAGCTTGGTTATTTATAATACTGTAGCAGTCACTTTACTCCGTCTGGTTTTTACTTGAACATTCCCAAACCAAACTATAATAAAGAAACATTGCAAATCAACAGAACTACATACATAAACGTTCCATGAAGATGTACAAACGTGAGGGAGAAAGGAAGCCAATAAACTTACGTTCTCGGCACAACAAACGCACTCGGCAAACTTGTAGTTATCACTCTAAACCCGGAACTAATAAACAAAACATTAAATCAATAAAAGCTCATTACAACAAGTACCTAAAAAACAGAGAGACAAACGCTGCTCAATAAAAACAAGAGACTTACGTCCTCGTTGAAGCACGCCAACACAAATCGCAGCCGATGAGGGCTCGCAAAGACAGGACACTAGCAGCACCCACGGCACTGGGTAATCGCACAAACACCAGATGAGGCTATGAAACAATGTAATCGTCTGAATCAAAATCACATATGCCAACGAGGTTTGATCTCACAATACATTTAAACATGAACTCACGTCAACTCGTACACTCAGCCAAGAGCCCAAGGAAGCAACAGTCTGTGACAGCACAAAATCAGAAAACGCCAGCTTGCTGGATTTAAAGGTGTAGCGCCAAACAACCCCCATCTGATTCAATCAAGCGCAATTCTCATGGAACACACCCCACTCGCTACACAAGCAAGATTTAGCATACGTTTTCACGTGATCGTAAATGAATTGATTTTAAACAACAGTCCAAACAAGATTTTAGTATTAAGTGAATTACACTTTAGACATCATTTTGTCTGTTTTTGCTGTTTAGCCAAAACAACAACAAAAACGTACTATATTTTAACTGTCTTGTCTGTTCTCCTTTTTCACAGGTGTGAGCTGTGCATGTTAAGAAGACCCCTATCCATCTTGACGACCGATGAATTGTAAATCTAATCTAATTTAATTATTCTATTTATCTAACTACTACTACTATACCTTGGTCCAGTACTGAACCACTGAGAACATTTTAAACGGATTTTTATCCATCTGTGAATTTTGTCTATCTGCAAGTTGTTAGAATTGTTGTGTGAAAATAAACGTTACAGTACAGTTTAAGGTTTAATTGCATAAAAGCTTGGATAGAAAACTTCCTATTGCAAAAGTTAGAACATAAGTCTGCATATAAAGAATTATTGATATCCGTAATGCAAGTTTTTCATGGCACATGTGCATGATGAGGTTGTTTTGTGTTTATTTATTTATTTTTTTTAAAGGACACTGGATAACTTGTCATTTTGTTATACTCATCTGGATTGGTGGTTTACTCGTCAAAGCTTTTATAGTTTATAAGTTTATATGTGTCTCCCAGCCCTGCAAATCTGGTCCCTTAGATAGAAAGCAGCCAAAAACCCTTTAAAATCAGCAACTGACCAGTTAGACAGTCTATCTCAAACCAATAGACAATCTTAGACTAGTTTAAGCTGTTTTACCCCAGCAGGGAGTGGGTGGATGAGTTGTTATGAACTATCTTTCTAATAGATTGATCAGATAGCACCCCTTTAATCTTTTCTATTTTACCCATGATAATCTTGCATGTATTTATGCATAATTGTTCATGATTGTCATG